CAGTTGCACAGCTGTCTCCTTTAAACAAAGTTTACTCAGTGTTGCTGAGCCGTGCCTGTGCCAGGAGAACGCTGGGCTGCAGCGTGTGCGAGCTCTACCCACCGAGCCTCTTGGGGGACGCTGGTCCCACAGGGCTTGGCCGTGGATGGGCTTTGGAGCTCGATGGAGCTCCTGGGGACTTTGGCCCAGCCCTCCCACCATGGACACCCCCCAGAGAGAGGGCTGACCAGACCAGCTTGTCCTGGGCTTTCCACAGAGACTCCTCCTCGCCCCATCCAATTTATTTCAGTCCTGTTTGCATCCCTTCATTCTCACTTGCTGGCCAGGACTGGCAAGGCTGCCCTGGTGCTGGGGTGCTGCCCTGGCGGTGGGGAGAGGGGCCAGGAGGGGACAGAGCTGTCCTGAACTCACCAGGCTGCAGGTTCTGAGCTCTCAGGGGTGCCTTGCTCCATGTCCCATGGCAGCTCCCAGTGTCAGGGCACTGGGGCCCACCCTGACCCCACTTTGGTCCGTGACACAAGGAGGAGTTGGGACCAGGCTGTGACTCAAAGTCTGGCAAGATTCAGAGGAAGGAATTGGCCTGGGCTGTGCCTCATTGCCCCAGTAACAAAGGAAGAGGAGTGCTCTGAAAGCTCATCAGGGATGCACGGGAGCCCTTCTCCTGAGGCCCCAAGGTGCTACTGAAGCTTCCCAGGTGCCCAGGAGGGGTGGCTTTAGGATTTATTCCTGTAGGATGCTGCCAGTGTTTCCAGACAGTCTGTTCAGAAGCGTTTTTGGACACTGAGCTCCCCATCAGGCTGTGCCAGGGTTGCCTCCCTCTGTCCCAGGGATGGTGGGAGTGCTGCACAGAGCAGCAGCCAGCAGATTTATGGCCTCAGTGTCTAGACCAGCTCTGCCCTGCCTGGGAGGACAGGTACATCCTGGTGAAAGGCAGGGGCCTTCTGGCCCTTCATCTTAGAGCCAAGCAAAGGGAATTTGCCAAAAAGCACGCTGCAGCATCTCCCTGGGACTTGGGGGGGTTGTCCAGCAGGTCACACTGCTTTGCTGCTTGCTGGGGACAGTGGAGCCTGCTAAAACTTCCCCTTCTGCAGCACAGGGATGTGGACAGGGTGGAGTCTTGGCCCTGGGAAAGGATCTGCAGGGAGCCTTTTGGGCACTGGAATCATCTGCCCAGGGAGGTGCTGGAGTCACCATCCCTGGATGTGTTTAAAAACAGACTGGACATGGCACTCAGGGCTGTGGTTTAGTTGATGGGGAGGTGTTGGGTCACAGGTTGGACTCTGGGATCTCAAAGGTCTTTTCCAGCCTGGTTCATTGTGTGATTCTGTGATTCTGATGCTGCTCCATCCTTGCTGGGAGCCTCAATGGGAGCCACAATGTGCTGGGCCAAGCAGGGCAAGCTCAGAGGGGACAGGTCCTGCTGCAGCCAGGCTGTGCCCTTCCCACTGGGCTGGTGACAGATGCACCAGGGTCGGTGTCTGGGGTGGGCAGGGATGCAGCTTTGCAGCTCACTTCCTCATTTTTGCCATTTTTCAGGGGATTTCTCACAGGTGGCAGCACCTTTGGGTGTCACCACGAGGATCCGTGTGTGCACGTGCCCAATGATAAACACACAGATGTGAATGTGGGGGAAAATGTAAATATCTACAATAGTTCTCCACAATTAAGAGATGTTTTAGAGCAGAAAAATTTCCATTTTTGGCGTAGGAACATCAATTTTATAAATAAAAAGATTTAAATAAACATTAGCACGACTACATCAACACACACACACAAAAACACACACACACACTCACTCACTCTCACAAGTGCACTTTAAATAGGCTCTCACACTGTAATTTTAAATAGTACAAAACAAATGAATTCCCCAAATATTGTTTAAACTGGCACAGGGGGTTATGATGTCATTTCTGTAATAATCATAAGCTTGTTTTCCTGTAATGAATATGGTTTCCCATTAACAGTTTATTGGGGTTTTTGGTGTGTGTGAGGCCAGCCCCGGGCTGTGGCTGGGTTTGACGGCTGCAGACTCCATCCTTACACTGCTCTCAAAGTGGATTTTCTCATCCTTTTTCTCCTGGGGAATGAGGCTCAGTACCCAACTTGGGAGCAGCTCTGCCGCCTTTGTGGGACTCTGCTGGCTCCAGCTCTGCCCTTGGTGGGAGCAGGATGGGGCTGTGTGGCAGGAGCAGGAGGGATGGGGGTGCAGAGGGAGCTGGGTTTGTGCTCCCCATACCCTCAGCCAGAGCCCTGCCAGAGCTGGTGAGGAGGAGCTCAGCCCAGCCTGTGTCACCCCCCTGAGCCAAGGTGTCACCAGCCACAGCTGAGGTGTCTGTGTGTCCTGGGGGAGCATCCCCACAGCTCAGGGGGCCCAAGGGATGCTCTGACACCTCTGTTTGCAGGACCCTCTGCTGGAGGAGGAGCTGCAGCCCCTTCCCCAGGGACAGAAAGAGTAAAACTGACAGAGGTGGGATATTGGGAAGGAATTCCTCCCTGTGAGGGTGAGGAGGGCTGGCACAGGGTGCCCAGAGCAGCTGGGGCTGCCCCTGGATCCCTGGCAGTGCCCAAGGCCAGGCTGGACATTGGGGCTGGAGCAGCCTGGGACAGGGGAAGGTGTCCCTGCCATGGCTGGGGTGGCACTGGATGATCTTTGATCCCTTCTACCCCAAACCACTCTGGCTCTCTCCCAGGTGCCCATCAGCAGATTTTCACCTGTGGGGGCAGATGAGCCCCACTCCTGGGTGCCTGCTGGGACAGCACCTGTGTCCCTGCACCTCCTGGAGCTGGGAGTGACCATGGCACTGAGCTGGAGGCATCCTGCAGCCCCAGGAATTGGGACATGCCACACTCCATAGGATCTCTTGCCTCTGGATCCCTGGAAGTGTCCCAGGCCAGGCTGGACGGGGCTTGGAGCACCTGGGGCAGTGGAAGGTGTCCCTGCCCACGGCAGGGAAGGATGGAACGAGATGAGCTTTGAAATCCCTTCCAAGCAGACCATTCTGTGATTCCATGACAATTCTGTGATTTCCCAGTGCAGCCCCAGGTGCCAGTGCCCTCCTCTCCTGCCCTCACAGCCCGGAGGGAGCGCGGCTGGCACTCCTGCAGCTCTGCTCATTCACACCAGCACCAGCACACGGTGTTTCTGAATGACTTAGAATAATATTTGGAAAAATCCATCTTAAGTATATTAGTCCACTAAGCCTTTAAGTCTTCACAAGGGCCTTAATTCCAAGGACGCTGGTGCATGCCTGTGCCAAGGATTTTGCAAGGCAGTGACACAGAGGCAGCCGGGCTTGTTCCACGCCCCATCCTGCAGCCTCCAAAATGGTTAACAAATGTCTTACTGCTGGAAATCTGTTTCTGCTTAGCTGGGAAGCAGTGGGGTTCTGAACCCTGCTTTGTAGCACCCTGCTGGCAGCTTTTGTCATTCCCAGGCCTGGCATATTATTGGAACTATTAAATGATGTTGCATTGCCTCATTGTATTTAGATTTTAAACATATTTGTAAGGCTTTGAAAAAAAAAAATAAAAATTGTTCTCATTATTGAAGCAATGTACCAAATACCTTCTAGTAAATAATCTGTCCCAGAAGTGCTCTGCTCACCCAGAGAGGGTTGGAGAGCAATAAACCAGCAAAAGGGAAGGAGAAAAAAAAAATAGTCTGGATGTTAGAGGGGTGTAGAGCCAGGAGGAACGAGAAAGCACAAGATGATGCAGCTGCACTCCCTGTGAGCTTCTGTTCCAGGCACAGCCACCCAGCCCGTGGGCTCTGGGGTGGGCAGAGCCAGCTCCAGAGGGGATGGCAGGAGCTGGCACCAGGGCCGGTGGCACACAGGGCTTGGCAGGAGGGGAGGCACACGGAGCTCAGGTGACCCTGCTGGGGAGGAGGGAGGAAACTCAGCACTGCTGCCTTTGCTCCTCAATCCCCCCTGCCCCAACAGGACAGAAAACAGCAGTGCAAGCCCTTGACTGTCCAGGCTACCAACCTTCCTCCCCTCCTGCACATCTCTCCATGGAGATGGAGACACCTGTGCTTGGAAAACAAGCTTAGCCAGGTCATTCTGACACACTTCCTCTGCCACTGTCACCTCTTGCTTTACCCAGCCTGGCAAAACTCTCTTGGAGAGGCATTTCCACAGTCTGGTTCATTCCCTGAACTTACACCTGCTGGTAGAGGACACAGCCTCAAGCTGGGCCAAGGGAAATAGAGGTTGGATATTAGGAAAAAGTTTTTTACAGAAGGGGTGATAAAGTGCTGGAATGGTCTGCCCAAGGAGGTGGTGGAGTCACCACCCCTGGATGTGTTCAAAAAGCCTGGATGTGGCACTCGGTGCCCTGGTCTAGTTTTTGGTTCTAGGGCTGGGTTGGACTCAATGATCTTGGAAGTCTCTTCCAGCCTGGTGATTGTGTTGAATTCTGCTGAATTTTGTTGACAAGTGTTTGTCTCCAAGCAGCTGATCAGAGCAGACCCCCAAATGCAGAGTTCAGTGCCATCCAGCCCCCGTGCCAGTGTCCCCAGGCTCTGCTGTCCCCAGCCACGAGCCCGCAGCACTCGAGCAGCACCAGGGGTCTGACTGAGCACAGCCTGGGCCAAGCATACTTTAGATCAGTCTCCTAGAAGCTGGGAAAGCACCAAAAAGCAAACAAAACCAAAACAACAACAGCACAACAACAAAAAGCCAGGACGAAAGGAAAATAGCTGCGATGCTGTTGTGATGTCTGTGCATGAGTATTTTTGCAGTGAAGGAATGCAGATGCATTTTTGCTGGGTTACAGCACAGCTCTCCACAGAGCAGCAGTGATGCACTGTAAACAGACCATGCTAAAACACATAGTTCTCTCTGGATCTTTCTGCAGCGTTTTCTCTAAAGAGTTATTTTGTAACAGGAGTTTTATTTGCTTTTGAAGAGTCCCTAAATAGCATGAGCCCGAGTTCAGGAACATGCATGTTCTGGCATTTATTTTAAAGTGCTCTTTATTTAGCAAACATGGTGCCAGGAGATGTCCCCTGCCCAGCCGGGGTCCCTGATGCAGCCCCCTCCCCTCAAACCATCTCCCCTCACCCACAGGGGAAGGCAGCAGCAGAGCTGCTGTCTGTGCTGTGCAACCAGCAAAGAAAGATCCTCCAGGTAGATTTTTCCTCCTCCAGGGAACAGGAAAGGGACATGGGATGGGAAAAGCCGGCACCTTAGAGCCCAAACTCTTCTGAATTGTTTCACAGACCATCAGATGTGTGAGGAGGCAAAGCCAAATTCTTGCTCTGCTGCCCCAGAGCAGCCCCACTGCACTTCACGCCAAGGGCATCTCCCTCTGGGTTATTCTGGAGGAAATGGGGCCTTTCAGGTGTCTGATGTGCATCCAGATCCAGGTGATTTGGCTCCAGAGACAGCAGCTACAGGTGAACAGGACAGCCAGTGCCAGGCAGCTGGAGAAGCTCTGAAATCTCCCTCTCAGGCCTCAGGAGAGGGACCAGGATGGAGCCATGGGAAGGGGTGACAGCCCTGAGGCCTGGAGAATGAAATTACCTGTCTGCTTCTCCGTGCTGGCTGTGGGTGCTGGGCCAGGGGGATTTTCAGGGGAGGGCCCAGGTCTGGTCAGCACTGTCTGTCACTTGGCTGGAGGTGGGACAGACACAGAGGGAGCCCCTGGGTCAGTGCTGAGGCTTCCAGCACAGAGGTTTGGACATCACCCATGCTCTCCTGCCTGCCTTGGGGCACAGGAAAGGCAGTTCTCTGCTGAGAAGGAACAACAATACTACAACAATCAGTAGGATTTTCCCACATCTCCCCAATATTACATTTTTTAAAATTTTTATTTTTGATGAGAAATACAGTTTTAAAACTATCTTCTTTGAGACCTTTAAATCTATTTCTTAGTGGTTGCTCTGATTCACCCTTCCCCCTTCAAATCTCAGTGTCACCAGCAGGAATTCCTTTAGGGTTTTCATAAGACAAACTGCAAACAAGCTACAAAATATTTTCCTTTTGTAAGAAGGGGGAAGGGCAAACATAAGTTAAATGTAATTTTCGATAGTGGCCTCACTTAGAGCGCCGAGTTTTGCCCATTGTGTAAAATGCAGCTCATGCACCCCAGGAACAGAGCTGGGAAGCAGCACTTGGGGCTGGGGGAAGCTGTTTGGGTTTGGAGATCACGCTATGTAATTGCATGGCAAAGGGGAGCCTGCCCTTGTGGTTACCAGCCCCAAATGGGAATGGGATGAATAGCCAAACTTTTCACAGGCGTTGTAAATTGTCTTTCCACAAACCAACTTCCAGGAATAACAGCATGCTTTTCTAAACGATGCTTGTTTGCTCTCTGCACCCTATCCAGCCCTCCCCCTTCTCTGCTCTGCTTTTTATTCTTTTTATTCATTCAAGTGATGAAAACTTAGGGAATATTTTGGTGACTTTCACAGACATTTGTGATTTTTCCTCCTGAACTGCCAAAGTAAAAGTTGGCCCAGAGCAGCTAAGGCACTTCCACAGGGATTTGAGGATGGTAAATCAGAGAGAGGCAACAGCAGAGTGAAATCTTGGTTAGGAGTTACAATGCCACTTCCCCCCTCGCAAGGAACGGAAAGACAGAAATAACTCCAGGAAAGACTTTCCTGCCGCTGCAGAGCCCGCTGGAATTTGCAGCAAACCCAAAGCCTTTCTCCCCTTTCCCGCTCGCACACGCTCCACGTTTGGCTCGTTGGAGAGTCCCTGACACGAGAGCTCGGCGCTTTATCTGATAGGAGAAGTGGAGCAGCTGCTGGATGTGCCTCGCAGGAACAGCCCACCTAAGTCGTGTGAAAACTGGGGGCTCTGGGGGGGCAGAATGATGCAGACTCCGCTTCTGAATCATCCTGGAGCTGTTCCTGAGCAGGCCACACTCGCACCCAGGCTGCCTGCAGCCCTGGCTCTGAGCAGCCCCGAGCTGAAGGCTGTGCTGAAGCAGCTCAGCCCCGTGCTGCAGCCAGGGTGCTGCCTCACGTTTGAGCTTTCATATTTTTCATATTCTGCCCTGCCCAGGTGTGCAGCTCTGAGCTTCATGTTCAGTGTCAGTGAGCTCTCTTCACAGAGCAGGCAGACAGAACAATTCCTTTTCCAGCTCCATACCAAGGACAGCCCTTACAAGTTTCAGGCCCAAAAGCAGAAACAACGGTGGAATGAAGAGAGAAAACAAGGATGGGACTCCATAACCTGGAGCAGTGACTGGACAATTAACCCTGATATGCAGATGGACCAAAACTGATGAAAATGTGACACCTCATGACCAGTTGTGCATTTTGGGACCATTTTTGGTCCATCTTGGGTGAGGCCCTGGCCAGGCTCTTGTGCTGCCCAAGGTGTGTCCTTTAAAGCCTTTCAATAAATCCCTACTTTATTCTTAGCTGTGTCCAGCCTCTGTTCCAGGGCAGCCTCCTGCAGGGATCCATCCCAGCACAGGGACAGGGTCTTTCCAAGGGGCTCCTCCACCTCTTTCCCAGCACTGGGTGGTTGGAGAAAGGTGTCCTGCTGGGTGTGCCCCAGGGGGGTTCTGGCTCATTTGTCACTGCAGTGACAGGAGATGCTCTAGAGCAACACTGGACCCTCACACCAGAGGCTTGCATTGGGCAGGAGCGGAGAAAGGGCTGGAATCTTCTCCTGACTCTGCCATTTGCTGAGAGGGAGCCTGGACAGGGCAGTAGTTACTGGGTCTGGCTAGAAGAGATGAGGAGGTCATGGTGCTGAAAATAGGAGTTCCATTTTTTAGAGAAATAATTGGTGGGATTCCTCAAAGGAGCATTGAGATCTCATACTTTTAAATTACTTTAAGTCATGGTTTTGCTGCCAAAAGAGGGATCATGCTGGAGAAGTCTGTGCTGAGTAGAAATGTAAATAAAGGCTAAATAGTGTGGTCAAAGCTCAAGAGGAACATCACCTCCCAGGAGGTGAGGAGGAAGAGTCTGTCACTCCAGGTGGGACTTGGCCAGTCCAGCTGTGAGGGGTTGTGAAGGGAATAAACTCTGGGTGGAGACATTGGAACTGCAGGAGATGCCTGTCACAGGACATTGTGACATTGTGACATTGTGACATTGTGACATTGTGACATTGTGACATGACCACCAAAGCGTAGAATGTGCTTTGCAGGCATCAAACCAGGAAAAGCTTCCAAAGGGGAGAAATAAGGGACAAAAAAACCTTGGTGCTACAAAGCTCAGGGGCTGGGCTCAGAGTGTTGGGTGAGCACCCCATGGATGCCAGGAGGAAATGGAGCACAGGGCTGAGGCTGGGCTGTCACAAATGGCTCACACTGGTCATGCTGGCCTCGGGCCAGATGAACCATGAGCCAGCAGTCACATTGTCATGATACAAACACCCAAAACCTGCTGCTATGGGTCTGGGGGATATGGGTCAAATTCCCCCCGTAAGTCAGACCCTGACAAGCTGGACTGTCCTCCTTGGTTAACCCTTTCTTTTAACTGAGTAGGAAAATTCTTCCAGGAGCAAGGGTTTGCTGGAACCAGGCACGGTCTGGAGGCATGGTGGTGTCATAGGACAAATCTCCCAAAGGAGCCCTTATAGGTGTGATTTTGAGCCATTCCTCGAAATTCAAGAACCAAGCAATTTACAGAGTTTTAGAGAGGCTTCTCTCATACTCAGGGATCTTTGGCACATGGGGCTTTAAATAAAGTCAGCTAAGACCAAACTGGGTGATCAGAACCTTCTCACTAGGTGGTGCCCACACCTCCTGGCGCTGCTTGGGGCAGGGCAAGAGTCTGTGAGGAGAAGCCCAGCCCAGCAGTGTGGGGTGCCCCCTGCACTGACCCCCCAGCTCCCCAGCCACGTGCAGACACATTGCTCTCCCCTCTGCTGAACAAGGCAAAACATTGTCTGGGGTCTGGGGACTGGCAACTTCCTATTCTCTGGTGAATTTCCCTGCCTGAAGATCCAGTCCTGTGCATGTTTCCATTTCTACACCCGCTGCTATAACATCAGGTCCTGGGAATGCTCCCCCCTCCTGCACTCTTTCAGGGGGTATCGATGTTTCCAGTTAATGTGGGGTTTTTTGCCCTCACTAAAGAATTTTACAAATTGTTTGTTTATTGTGTCAATCTCTGCCTTTGTGAGCAGAAGAGGGAGCATCTGGAGAGCATCATGCACTCTTGGCATGGGTGTTCCTGGGAGGCTGAGCTCTCCCCAGCGTGAGAGCAGCAGCCCATCCCCTCTCCCCAGACCCCATCCCATCCTCAGATGGGGTCGTGCCTGAGCACTGCCAGGCTGCAGGGGCAACCACGATGGAGAATCACTTCCCCTGCCCTGGGCCACGTTCCCCACGTGAATTCACCTGGCCTGCTTCACAGCAGGGCAGTGTCTGTAATGTCTGACTCTCCTGGAATCAGCCTGGCTGATGCAGGAGATAAAGACCTGTCTGTCCACGTGTGCCAAAGCCAGGCAAGGCTGTAGTGCCCACCCACCCTGGGGATTCAGCAGAGCAGCAGCCAACAGCCACAGCACTGAGGCGAGCAGCAGCTTCACCTCTGCATCAGAATTTTCCATCACAATAGAGTTTCCTTGGAAGAAAAAATGAACTCGTTGGTTAATCGAGAGGAAAATGTCAAAAAGGAATGCACCAGTTTGAGTTAAAGTCTTATCTGAGAAGGTCAGGGGTGTTGGGGAGGGATTGTCTCCTGGAGGCAAGGGCAGACCACCCTGCAGTGGCTCATCACCTACTGCTGGGGTCACAGCTGGGAGGGGACAGCAAAGCAGAGACCCAGATCCAGCCCCCTGTGACCCAGGGGAGCACTGCACTCAGTACACCCCAGGACTAGCACATGCCTTTCCTGTCCTGCTGGGGCTGCTCAATTGTGTCTGGTTAATTAATATTCATTAAGCCAAAGGGAAAGTTGGATTGCAGTCTGCTCGTTAAGGTACTGACCCGGGCTCAAATTCAAGTGATTATTCCTTTATTTATGCTGTGGAAAGTTGCAATGGGACAGGCCGTACAAACACGCTGGTCTAGAGCTCAGCTGGGGTCTGGGACACTTCCAGCCAAGTCCCCCCTCTGCCAGCACTGGAGAAGACCTTGGTCCTCCTTCCCACACCCCAGCTGGTCTCGTGCCACGGCAATCCATTCGGGAGCGTCTTTGGTTTTTCATGGAAATTTCTCGAGTTTTTTGGTTGATCCTGGTGTGGGGTGGGAACATTTTCTGATGCTTTTAGAGGTTTTGTTGGAATGGTGAGGATCTTCCTGCCCAGCACTGCGGCCTGGCCAGAGCTCAGAGACCTCAGCTCCTCGCGTGACGTTTGCAGCAAGCAATGCCACAGCCTTGCAGCAAGCCCTGACAGCGTGGGGAGGCTCATCCCATCCTGGGGATTCTGCTTCCAGCCTGGGAGCTCAGCTGAGCTCAGGGGGGCTGGCACTGCAGCCAGTCCCAGTGGTTGGGTAGATCATACAATGGTTTGGGTTGGAAGGGATCTTAAAGATCATCCAGTGTCATGGCAGGGACACCTTCCACTCTCCCAGGTTGCTCCAAGCCCTGTCCAACCTGGCTTTGGACACATCCAGGGATCCAGGAGCAGCCACAGCTTCTCTGGGAACCTCTGCCAGGGTCTGCCCACCTTCCCAGGGAATGATTTCTTCCTAACATCCCACCTAACCCTTCCTTCCGTCAGTGGGAAGCCATTCCCTGTGTCCTGCACTCCACCCCTCCTCAATAATGTCTCCCCGTATTTCTTGTAGCCCTTTCAGGCACTGGAAAGCCACAATAAAATCACCTTGAAACTTGTCCAGGCTGAACAACCCCAGCTCTCCCAGCCTTTCCTCACAGGAGAGGTGGTCCAGGCCCACAGAAAGATCTCCAGGGCTTGAGGAACACGCACACCCTTCCTGTGTCCCAGTGCCCAGTGTGGGGCAGGGCAGGGGTGGCCAGGGCTGTCACAGTGTCACAGCAGCCTTGGTTCCCTTGCTGAGACAGCAGGAGCCTGCACAAGGCCAAGGCCACCTGTCTGTGCCTCAGGGGACACGGCCTCCTCCCAGCAGGATGGAAATGGAAGCTCTGGCCTTCTCCAGTGCTCTGTGGGAGGTCTGGGGACCATCTGCCCCTGCCAGGGTTGCTGGCTGGTTCTCACTCAGGCAGAACAGAGGTTACCACCCATCAGGGACATCTAAACCCACCAGTCTCCATTGTGGCTGTCCCCACAGCCCATCCAGGATCAGCCAGCTCAGACTGGGAGCACTGGTTTGGCAGGGAGCAAGCTGCAAAGCCCACGGGACATTCCCGTGCTCCAGACTGGCAGCAGAGCCTTCCCATGGGCAGGGCCTGGCAGCCACCAGGAGAACAACCTCCCTGAGATGTTCCACCTTCGAGTGACCCTGCTGCAGGTGTTGCATGGTTTGGTGGCTCCAGGCCCAGCACACAGGCAGAGAGCTGCACAGAGAGCTCGAGTTCAGCTCCATCACAGGCACCCAGGGATTTCCAGGTGCTGAATCCGAGGAGGATCCTGGGGAAGGCGGGTGGGTGTGTGCCCCGAGGTGGGTTGTGCACCATCCCTCTGTGCACAGCCAGCCCGTGCCCTGCCAGGAAAGCTGGTCACACATTTCTGCCAATTCAATGGAAACTTTCCATAGTCTAAATTTGTTTAGAAAAAACATTGAAATGAAACATTCGGCTGATGTCAAGATATTTGGCTTTTGCATTAGCTGGTGAAATGCCCTGATTTTTTGTTTTGACTTTTTGTTTCTGTATCCTACTGACTTTATTATTCCAGTATTCCTCATAAAAATATGAAGTAAAACAAAACAAAACAAAAAATTCAAACTGAATTACTTCAGCTGGCTCTAGTGCCATTCTTCAAATTACACAGGACTGGCCAGTTGAAAATTCGTTGCCTTCATCCTGATTAGAAACAAATCTCAAAAGGGCATAATTTTCTTTGGATTGGGATTATGATTCTGCCAGCTCAAACTGCAGGTGTTGCCCCTCATGTGCTGTGCCCCTGGAGCTGAGCTGGGAGGGGGCTGCACGGGCAGAGGGCCCCCCATGGGTCAGTGCTGATGCTCTCAGCAATCCCCCAGCTCCTGCTGAAGCAGCTGTGGGAGCAGAATAAATTCTCATCTCCACTGGTGGCCTCAGGCTGTGCCAAGGGTGGCTCAGGTTGGATGTCAGAAAGAATTTCCCCATGGAAAGGGTGGTCAGGCATTGACAGGGGCTGCTCAGGGAGGTTTGGAGTGCCCATCTCTGGAATTCCTGGAAGTGGCACTCAGTAGTCTGGACTGATGACAAGGAGGGGATGGGGCACAGCTTGGACTGGACTCCAGGATGATCCTGGAGGTCCTTTCCAACCTCGGAGATTCTAGGATTCTGGGATTCTGGGATTTTAACCCGGTTGAGGAAGGCCTGCACATGACCATCCATCCCTTCCAGCTCCCAAGGCTGGGTCCCCATCACCCAGAGACAGGCTCTGGTCCCAAGCCTGTCCCACTGGCTCCTCTCAGAGCTGGTTTCTGCCCACTGAGCAGAAATCATGTGTGCTTTCCTGCCAGGAAGGCCCAGACCTGCCTCCTGCCCCAGCCTGCATCATGCAGCTGTGGTGAAAACCCATCCTGCCTGGAAGCACAGCATTTGGGTTTGTGTCCTTCAGCAAAACCCTGCCTTTGTTTACCCACCGGCTGCTCGGTGGCCCGTGGTGACAGCGGCTTCCAGAGGGCTGCGGGAAGGGAGCTGGCAAGTCCTGCCTGTAAAAACTGAGGGCTGATGACCTCTACAGTCAGCCTGGGAAATTCATCCCTGCTCCAGCAGCTCCCACCGACAGCTCTCAGTGCCCAGCCAGCCCCATCCCGGGATGCTGCCCTTCTTCACCCACATGGAGCATCCCATGGAGCTCACAGCTGGGTGGGATCCTCAGGATTTGGGGATGCTCTGGCATTGCTGAGGGACCAAGAACAGCCCACGGGGAGCCCTGGGATGTGCTGGCTCTCCTGGGAAGCAGTGGCACAGCCCAGCTCCTGCTGCCTGCCAGGACAGGTCCAGAAAGGGAACAGTGACTGCTG